GTAAGACACTATAACACAGATAAACAGGATTATGATGTTTTCAACTTTTGCCAAACCTTCCTTTAACTGGGATTTTTGCCTGCCATTCCATACATATTACTTGTACACTTCACTAAAATATGTGATATAGACGCTTTGTCAAGTCACAAAGAGATATTTTTTATTTATAATTAATGCAATTTTTTCACTTAATATACACTTTCCCCAACCAACACACTCCCGCCTATTCATAATTTTGGGCAAAAGAAATCAATTTACGTGCATGTTTTACCACCTCATTATTCAGTCACTTTCCACACTAAAATTAGCATTTTCCACTCTTATCAAGGGAGCACAAGGTCTGCAACACTCCCCCCCACAGCAAGACCTGCTAAGTCAGGACTTATTTTCAGCTTTTAGGCAGCTTTAAGGGAAGTCCTTGAGTCACATTAAGGAGTCTCCCACACATCCCAGGCAGGTGAAAAGCGGCTTCACCTTGCTCTGTGCAGCCCCAACCTTGTGTAACTGCCCAGGCTGTGCCAAGCAGGAGCTTATCCCGCCTCTCCACATGCTCCTGCCTCCACATCCCAAGATTCCTGGCTAGAGGGGAGCAGGGGAGCTTGTGTGGGCTTGCAAGGACACCCCACTCTGTTTGGTTTTTAGATTTAAAATTCCACGTGTTTGTCACCACATTTAACCCTTCAAAAGGAGTGAACTAACGTTGCTTAGTCCTTGAGATTGTTTTCTGGCAGAATTTTTTCAATGCCTAAATCCTGGCCAGAATTGTTGCTAATCTTCATTTCTTCTTTAAAAGGATTAAAAAGGTTCTTTGTAAGAGGAAAAAGCTTCAATCCAAAGACAAGCTATGGAAAGTTTTAACACACTGGGCTGTTCATTTCAGCCCAAGCGCTGCCTGAATTCCAGCACTCACCTGAAATCAGCAATTTATTATCTGCTTGAATCCTAGAATGAAAGTTTTTGGGTGGGAAGGGTCCTTAAAGCTCATCCCATTCCAACCCCCTGCCATGAGGTTGGAATGACAGGGACCACCTTCCACTATCCCAGGTTGCTCCAAGCCCCATCTCCCCACAACCTTCTTCAGGGCTGCCATTTGCCTCGGAAAGAAAATGGGAATTGGAGTGGCAGAAGAATCTCAGAAAAATATTCCTTTATAAGTAAAATATACTTGGGTTTCATCCAGTTCCTCCTCAAAGCAGGAATCATCAAGCTCAGCTGCTGCAAGGCTACAAAAATCCTCAAGTCTAACCCAGAACTCCTTAAAAACAACCAAACTGAGTTTAAACATCACATCTCCACCACCAAAAAACGTTGTCTGTGTGGGGGCTACAAAAGCAAACTGATTTAAATCCAGAAACAGATACCTTAAAAGCAAATCTTTAAAAATATCCTCATTTACTGAATTACCCACTACAAAGCAGTAATTCTAAAGACATTACAATAGCTGAAAAGGAAAAACCCAGCCTGGTTTAACACACTTGTCAGCTTCATTTAGCAGCACTCACTCCTTGGAAGAGTTTTTACCCTGTGCCCGTCTTTGGAATCTCTGTTCTGCAAAACAAGAGGGAAAGCAGCTAGAAACCTCCAAGGGCAACAAAAGTACAGTGAAGTCAGCCCTTGTTTCATTTTTAAGCATTTTCTCTTAATAAAAAGGCTCAGAGGTGGTTTGTTGGGCAGATTTAAATGAATGCTTTGCTTTAGAAATATCAAGGCTGATTCATAGGCCTGTGCCAGACTAGTACACAACTGATCTCTTGAGCTCATATCAGTCACACACCAATTACAGTTATGCCTGCAAGATATAATAAAACTCCTTTGTCTGACCTGACAAAAAAAAAATTAAAAATCGAGTCTTTTTATGAGGTTTTGTTTGGGAAATATAAAATTACAGCACAAGCAAATTGATAGTTAAAAAAAAAACCCACATGGCTGTAAAGGAGCCTGGAGTAATTAGAGTCTGTTTGGAGATTTCCCCCAAAATTAATTCCTATAAACATTCCATTTGTTGCCCAGGACTTATCTATTCCCTTCAATCAAAACGAGTTCACACCCTCTCCCAAGCCCCAGCCACCGAGTAATAATGCTGTGAGTAATCTTTGCAGCACAGAGCAAACCCCTCGAGCTGATAAAGGAACTTCAGCCCTGACCTTTGCAACAGAGAACAGACAGCTCAGCAAGGGCAAACAAAAGAGTGGACAAGTCATGCCAAGGATTATTATCCATCCTGGAGGTTCACACATCCTCAAGAAGGGAGATTTTTGGTTTACAGAGGTCGTCTGGGGAAAATTGTGTCAAAACTCGAAGCTCTGTCACAAATAAAGTCCTGAAAGCAGCTAAAGAAAAGCCTGACCGTTTCCACGCTGTGTAATTTTAATTTTCACACAACTCAACCAAACCCACCCCCCCACAATAGGTCAAGGATAGTAGCAAAGCCTGGAGGTCATACATTGATTTAAAAATTGATCTTTTCTAAGTGATCAGGTTACTGAAACCTGCACAACCCCATCGAGGATTGCTCAGTAAAATCACTGCTGCCTTGCTCTAGCTCAGGAAAGGTCATTTCTTGGTTAAGGAATAACAGGAGAAGGCCAGATTCTTGAAGCCACATGAAAAAGGACTTCTTTTTTAAGAGTAAGCCTTTACATGTACTTATTAACCCTCAAGTCTCCAGAGAAATGTGTAAATAACACATTCAGTTCGCAGAGAAAATGAGGCCCATCAGTTATCACCTGGATTTTCAAACCATTCCTTAATTTTTAACGTCACATCTGAAAGAGTGGAGACACTTTTTTCTGAAGACCTGAAAACATTTCAGCGGTAATTATACTGACAGAATTTGCTACCTCCAACAGTCAGGCCCCAAACATCCCAAGCTGGGGGTTTTATTTACACCCACCCATCTCCCAGACTTGGTTTCTCCCAGAAAGGATGGGAGTGGTGGGGGGGAGAAATGCGTATTTCCAAAAGTCATGGTTTGTTTTTCCAAATGTCACTCCCTGCCAGAGCACGGCTGAGTCATGACAAGTGGGGATGTGACAGCACAGAGTTCTGTTTCTAAAATTCTTTTCCCAGTTCCCAAATTGACTTTGGCATCTTAATGAGAAACACAGGAAAGCTCTTAAGGTTTTCAAACTTGCCCTGCTTTGTGAGCACCTAAAAAGTGTATTTACAATGTTATTTACTTTTCTTTTCCCCGTGAAGAGCACTCTGGGTTTGCCAGAATTCCTCCAGCTCACTTTAGACACTCGAAAAGCCTGAAATCAGAAGGAATGATTTTGCAACACGAGGAAAAGCAGTCGATGGGTTTGGAAACGGAAGCAGAACCTGAGGGTGAATTAGAATAACTGAATGAGCTGATATTTAGAAGACTCCTCTGATGGAGCTGCAGAAGCCAAGACAATTCAGCAGCAGCCTCCCAAGGGCATGACATGCTGGATAGGACCCTGCTCCCAACCCAACTGTGTTTCTGAGATTATATTTTTGAGATAACGTTGTCTCAGTGTTTGCAGGCAAACCTTTAGTGCAGTTCACGGGCCCCCACGTTTCCCCTCTCCTGTTAAATCACCCCATATAAATTTACTATGCTTCCTGCCTAGATTAGCAATGGCTATTTGTGAGGATGCAAATGAAGTATTCTTTGCTCTCCCAGGCTGGATTCTCACACTGAGCTCACCACCTTGTCTGGGACCTCAACTGCCACTGCCAACCCATCCCTCCCTTGCCAAGGGGCATGATTTGCATGATGTGTTTGCTCTATGAACGATTTTAAAACACATATCAGGGGAGCATAAACCATGCACTTGACTGGTTGCCAATGTCTTAGAGAAACTATGAGTAACATTTTTAATCCAGCTGTGGCCGACTCAGCTTCTGAGAATCTCAATTTCCTGCCATTTTTAGCTGTTTTAAAGGCTCAAATCAACGCAGGTTTTTGGCAGCTGAACAATACACGTGTTTCTGGAGGAGGTGGACACTGATACAAACAAAAACACCCCCCCACACACACAGTCTGTTTGATTTTAAGTCACTTATTAAAGCTCCAGTCCCACTGCCTGTAATAAATCTCTCTCGGTTAATGACAATAGAAAGTAAATATTTCACCTGATGATCTCTTTGCTTTTCCATTTACTACCACTTGGGTTTGAGAACCTTAAATTACCAGAGATCAGTTAATGAATACTTCTACTGACCACTGATATACAGTTCAGCTTCACATGAAAATTTAAACAAAGCTCTTCTTGCGTTTAACTGTTTGGTTTTTGTTTTGTTTTTTTCACTTTTACCCTTACCTCTTCCTTTTTTTCCCCGGAAAACAGATGATTGTAGATGTCCAGTAACAGGTTTTGCCTTTTCCTGCACCCCTGTTATTTTGTTTCACGCACACATTTTTTCATTTCCTCCCCTTGCATCAAGCAATAAATTAAATAGTCACAACCTTAACTCTATCAATTATTACATGACTTTTCAGTTTCACAGCAGTTTAACGGATTTGTTCTGACACAGACTGGTCCCTACCCTTAATCACTTTTCCAAGGATTTTTGATGCATGGAATGCCCCACTGTCAAGAAACTCCTGGAGCTAAACCTCTCCAGCGTGTTCCCATTCCCCTTCTTACACCGTGACCCATTACAAGAAAATAACTGTGAAAATTAATTTCATCCCAAAATGGCAAACTGGGCCCTGCTCAAATTATTTTGCAGATTTAAATTTCTCCTGTTTTTCATAACAGCATTATGAGGAGAAAAAGTGAAATAGTTCATGGACCCATTAGCCACTAACACATTGTTGAGAGCAGGCAGCAAATGCAGAAAGCACGAGGTTTTCAAAGCAACTTCCCAGCGTGGCAAAATCAGCCTTATTTTATGGATGATGGCAATTACGCTGCAGAAAGAATATATATTATTTTTTAAACTGAAAGCTTTCTATCAAGGCCTACATTTCCTAATTGTCAGGCTCACATTTAATTTACAAAACCTGACCTTCCTAATTTGAAAAATCTTACCTGGCATCTCCTTTTGAAAGGTTGGTGTTTACAGGATGAAGAATAACCTTGTTTGCATCCACATCCACCACACATTTTGTATGCAGATCAAGCTCTATAAAGAAATGAGAGAGTGTCAAGTGCTGCTCCTAAAGCACTGGGATTATATACACCATTACTTCCTCCAGACACCAAATTTATTCATGCAGTCTGACAGCCACCCATCAGCTAGAGAATAGAAACAGGACTATTGCCAAATTCCACTTCTAGGGATATTCTGATGGGATGGATCCTGTCCAGCTTTAAAGCAAGCACTCTTTTCAAAACAAGAAAGAGCACTTAGGTTTCACTGAAGGACAATCAGCATACACAAGGGCGGTATGAAATTTCTTCTGGGGGGAAAAGAACCATTTAGGCACGGTACCACTTTGACAGCTCTTCTTATTGCTCCCTCAATGCCTCCCAGCTCGCAGGGGAAAGCTGCCCCTGCCATCTGCAGCACATTTTCCCCGGCCGCTGTTGTGATACCGCGGCGTGTGGTGCCAGCTGTCAGTCCTGGGGCACCTGCTCCGAGAAATTCAAGTCCCATCAAAAATAATTTAGGTGCGAGCATGTAGAAAAAAAGGGCTTGTCCTTCCCTTCCCCTCCCCCCCCCCACCCCCAGGCTGCCAGTCAGCTGGAAAGCCCAGCTTTTCCAAGGGACGCTCAGCAGCGGGATATGGGCGATGAGTAATAAGGATATTTGGAGGGCACGAGAATTCTCAGGCGCAGAGGCGGGGAAAGCAAAATAAAAGGTTCAGATAACACTGACAACAGTCCAAGGTATCCACCCAGTGACAAATGCAGTTAGATACGAAATAAAGCACGCACCACTTGCCTACAGACACCCAGGACAGAGGGCCTGGGCACCAAACAGTCCAGCCTTATGACACAGAGCCTGGAAAGTGCATCCAAGTGCTGATCGCAACGAACGCACGATGACGCTGCTCACACCCCGCCAGGATGACGAGGGGCTACGCTGAACAACCTCCACACAGGGTTCAACACCTCAGCTGAATCACCAAAATGAGCTCGTGTCTAATCACGTTAATTATAATCCTCATCCTCCTTCATCTCTGCTCTTTCCTCCTCTGTGTCACCTGTACTTGCTCTTTCACCTTAAAGCACCTTATAAACTCAGGCTGAAAATCTCCCAGGCAAAGACTGCAGATCTCAGTTATTGCACAGCACCTTTGTGCTCCAGCTAAATAGCACAGTAAGAGGGAGTTTCTTCCATGGGCATTTTTTGAAAGAAAGGTTACAGCCTCTTTTGCTGCTTGACGCTCAACAAAGAAAGCCGAAGCTCGAGATTACTGCTCATAGCAGGCAGTCACATGGAACTGAAATCCTTCAGAGCAAAACTGCTCCTCTGTTATTACACTGTGCTTTTGCAGAAGGAAGAGCCAGGCAAGTTGCAGAAGCCAGTGTTTATTTTAATTTCCCTCCACACCCTGAAAGCCAATTTACCCATCATTAATATGCAATGCATGCTTGCTTAGATGAAACCATACTCCTCGTACGTCCCATATCCGACAAGGCACTTTATCTCGGTCTGGCTGGTTAGTGATTAACATTCTGTGTTGCACTGACCTGCTTTTCCCAGCTACTGAGGAAGGCTTTTACCTGCCTCATGCAAAGCATAAGGTCTGCACACGCTGCCTGTGAGCAGCATGGTCTCTGTCACCTTTTTAATCCATCTCTTGAGGTGCCCGTGGCAGGTTTTGCACCCACGACTGCCCAGTGAACTCATGGCCTTACTTACCAGTATTCTGTGTGAAACACCCTTAAGGAAGCACACAGGCAGGATATGAGACTTCCTTCAAGTCAAATGTCCCCACAGGAAAAAGAGGTAAGATTCAAAGCCAATTTCTCTTGTGCAACACACCTTGTCTGATCGTCACCATTGCACAGGGAACGTTCAAATCCCTCACCTTGGTGTGACAGACAGGGGCCAGCACTGTTTGGGAAGATGGGGTGAGCCAAACCAACAGCTATTGCCAAACACAGAGGTCTCGGTCCTTCCTTCCTGTGCCTGTTGCTCAGCAGACTCCTCTGCAAGTCACTTCAACAGCAGAAAACTGCCCAACGTGAAAATGGATGTGTTCAGACCCCGTGGAAAGCTCCATCAGCCCAGGGACAGCTCAGAAGGACAAAGGCCACGCAAACAGTGGGTAGACCTGGACAGAGGGAAGAGACCTTGTCCCAGCAGAGTTGAACTGCCCCATCAGTTCATGGTGTCACATGAAATAAACCCCTAAGAAACAGTTATATTGAGCCTCTAAGCTGGGTCGTGTATCCAGACAGCCTTAAGGCTGCTTATCCCAGTTACCCTGGCCAAAGGCTCACATGGCAACTTCTCCTTTTAGCTGAGGAAACACTTTAAATCCTGGTATAATAGCACATCAGACACTTTCTACAGATTCTGGCTCTGTTGCAAACCACGTTCTTTGACAGCTTTCTGATTTCTTTAATGCTTCCAGTACACTGAGAGGTGAATCTTGCATTAGCCACTGCTGAAACTTATATCATCATAATTTCCACCTCGTTAAGTTTTTAATATCACTTAAGCAGGTTGGCCTTACAGTCTAATTATCTGCCTGCTCTTTTGGATATGATCACACGAGGACTCCACCCTTACTTTTACTAGTTTCAGTGTCTCCCAGGTAAGCTGTGTACCTGCTGCTCCTGAACAACAAGGAAAATTGGGATGCACCAAGATAAGATGATAACCATGCACATCCAAAAACCCCAGTCAATTCATCCTGTAGTAAGGGTTGAAGCTTGGTATTATTATTTTTTTCCAACTATAATACAGGTGTTGTTTTTTCAGACAGCACAAAATTTAGGAAAAGTTAAAAGATGACAGAAGTGGCTCACTGTCAAACTTTGGAGATCTATCCCAAATCCTGCCTCTCAAACAAAATCTCCCCTATTATTATTGCTAACCTGCTTCTACCTTCAGTCATTACTGAGCAAACACAATCAACTCCTCATTTGCTTCAGCAAATCAAGCAACTAATCAGCTAATTGCTCTTTGAAGAATGCAAACTCAAACTCTCAACATCAAGCAACATTTATTGCCGGGAATGAAAGTCTCTCTTTCACAGCTTTGGAGAAAGAGAGCTGTGACATCCATAATAAAAGGGAAAACACGTATCATTTACATTTCACAGCCCGGGAACTGTTAAGCAAAGCTGGGCTGAGTGCAGGAATAATTGTTAAGTCCTGTGTGTCCCAGCTACTCACACAGAGTCTCTTGGATGAGTTTTTATTTCACTTGTAAAACTGGAAGGTGGGGGTTGAAGGAAGCCACTCTCCTTTCTCTTGATTTTTCAACTCCTCATAAGACTTTTTCTAGGATGATGAAAACTGGGATTCAGGCAATGTAGATTTCAGCTGAAACCACTCTTGTGTAAATCCAAATTTACTACTATGCCTTTGGATAAAAGCCTTATGGGTGTTGTAAAAATAATTCACTCTACCCATATGACTCTGGGCTTTTCCACTGGCCTAAGAAATTCGTGTGTGTTTCAAACAGGGTGGAAAAGCCCGTAAAAGCAAGAGAGAGCTGGAAAAGCAAAGCCAGGAGCAGCCTAACACCACATGGAATGGATTCAGCAGGCACTGGTCCATTCCCACAACAGGTAGGAGTTTACATTCCCTCTGTAATAGCAGTCACGAGGTTGGTAATCATAAACTCACCCCAGCAGATTTTCCACAACAGGGGTTAGGAAACACCAGCAAAGGTGCAACTTTAAAATGTACCGAGCAGGTTTGGGGCAGGGACAAGGAGTGGATGTGAATCCTGGGGGAAGGGGAGAGGAGGATTTTGGAGAATGTCAGATGTTTTCACCTCTGGGAAATCTCCACCTTTGCTTATGGATCAGAGTAGGGAACTGTTTTCACAAACGAGCTGCACAGGTTGGATAATCTTATACCCAACTCACTCCAGTAAGGCACAGATCAAACTCAGCTGCATCACAAAAAAAACAACCTGAAATGCCACATTTTTCAGCCACTATTCTAAAAACCCATCCCATTTTAAGGTTACTGTATTTCAGAACCAAACAAAATGATCCTAACAGACAGCTTTTACAGGGCAGCATGAAACAATCTTAAAATGAAAGATGACACAGTAAATAAGTCAGTCTGCAATGGTTTAAACTGGGGGTTGGAACTAAAGGCTTTTTAGTACCACAGCTAGGAAAGATGAAAAGTCTGTTACAACTTCATGTGACCTTCCATGTTTTCCTCTTTATATACCCATTTTTTCACATTTTATATGATGATGGCAGCCTTCCAGTACCTAAAGGGGCTCCAGGAGAGCTGGAGAGGGACTTTGGACAAGGGTCTGAAGGGACAGGACAAGGGGAAGTGGATTCCCACTGCCAGAGGGCAGGGACAGATGGGATATTGGGAAGGAATTGTTGGCTGGGAGGGTGGGGAGGCCCTGGCACAGGTTGCCCAGAGAAGCTGTGGCTGCCCTTGAATCCCCAGAAGTTTCCAAGGCCAGGTTGGATGGGGCTTGGAGCAACCTGGGCTAGTGGGAGGTGTCCCTGCCCATGGCAGGGGGTTTAGAACAGGATGAGCTTTAAGGTCCCTTCCCACTCAAACCATTCAGGGATTCCATGAATTCAGGGAATGCACTTCCCATTTAATCAAGAGCTTTTATTGCCATATGAATTTTCCCATTAGATCTCAGTTTAACACACTGGTTTATGCAGGTTGACAGTTTTTCAGCCCTTCCAAATATCATTTGATCTGAACCCAGTGTTACAACACAAGTCGAATAAAAGTTGTGACAGATTCCTCCTGGTCCCTTGGAGATGGACATCCAGCTCTGTGGAGTCACTGGGAACCAGCACAACCTCTCTTGATGAGCTTCATAAAAGCTAGAGAAGCCAACTGAAGTATAAAAAATAAAATGTGAAAGGTTTAAAGTGCATATACTAAGCTCATAAGCCAAAATTGGCCCCGGATACAAAAGCTCAGAATAATCTCCTGTAAAGACAGACCATAGAAATTTTATATTTTAAATTGCCAGTAGATTTTCAGGAGATTAACATTCCCTTGAAG